TAGCCCAAGAGTTGGCGGTGGGTGGTGATGACTAGCTGCCTTCCCTCTAGTCTTACACTGCTAAATTAGGGACGGCTAGCGCAGATAGCCCTCGTGTAGCTTTGCGCGAAATTCCAAAACAAACAAAACATATTTTGCTTTCAAATAAAAAGAAGATTTTTCTTTTTTATTTCCAGATTTTTTTCTATTATTATTGTTTAGGAAACTCTTAGCCCTCTTATTCTTGATCACTTTCTTTCAAAGGAGATTCCTTCGAGGCCAAATCTCCATGCACTGCATTTAATACACTTGAAAATTATTTAACTTTGCAATTGCAGTTATTAGGAGGAAATAATCATTTTCTGATGTTTCCACAATTGTTTATATACTATCAGGGTATAACATAAAAACAATCGATCAGCTTTTGTTCAGAAAATGGGAAATATTGGCCAACGGAAACAAAAAAATAAAAATGTTGAAAGAAGTTACTGATCTACAATAACCAATTTATCATATTTTCAGTAAATTATAAAATTTCCGAATGTTACATACTCAAGATTTATCACCCATCTAGGCCTACATGCAAGGAATACATCAGCTAACAATGACTTTCAGGAAGTCAGAAACAGTACTATTAGGGCTGAAAGTAGTGAATTTAATTGCAATGAGCATTTTTTATTCAGTAACAAATTTCAACTCTTCGTTTGTACAGATGATGAACTATTAGAGGGAAGGAAAACAAATAGGACAGAGAAGGGGGTGAATAATAAGCTTATGGAGGTTATATGTAATTCTTTGACAAGGCATGCAGATAGGGAAGTCTGTGGCGTAAATAGGAATATAAATAATTAGGGGAATGGGTGGAGGATACAGCTTACAGAGCAAAAGATATAATAAAGGGGGCTAGCAATGATGCAGTTATTATTGTACATGTAAGGGCTAATGATGTAGGGAGATGTAGGTCAGAAGAGCTAATTGATAAGTACAAGAGGTTGATAAAGGCATTAAAAAGTTCCATGACTAATTGTGTCAGAGATACTGCCGAGAATTAAAAGAGTGGATAAAATCATAAGTATGTCACAAGGGCTGAATGCCAGACTTAGGTTAATATATAAGGATAAGCAGATTGGCTGGTTGGACATGTGGGATCAGTTTAATGGGAGAAGCGAGCTTCATGGAATGGATGGTTTCCATTTATATTGGGTAAGGGCTGGCTTGTTTGCAAGGGCTATTAACTCAGCTGTAAGAGAAGTTTTAAACAAGGATTAGACAGTGGTGAGGGCCAGGATGAATTCAAAGGAAAAGAAAAATACAGAAACGTTTAGCATAGGAAATGAATATAGAAATAGTTCTAAGGGCAGGCTTACTTGTTACTATTGTAATGTTAGAAGTATAAGAAATTAAACAGATTACTTTATAGCGCTGGTAGGAATGGAGGATTTTGATATAAGAGGAATGACTGAAACATGATTAGATGCAGATGATTTTGATGACAGAAATTTCTTTGAAATACACGGTTATAAGTTATTTAATAGGGATAGATTATTAAAAAAGAGGGGGAGGAGTGGCTTTTTATGTAAAGTGTGAGTTACATCATGGGGAAGTTGAGGATATCAAAGATGATAACAAGGAGATTGAATCCATTTGGATTTCTATTAACAGATATAAATGGAAAAGGATTTTAGTGAGAAATTGTTACAGACCAACAGATGATACTGATGAAATTAATGAGACTTTACAATGAAATTAAGATTTCACCTGTTAATGAGGTCGTAATTATGGATGAT